AACAGAGCTAGTGTGACAACCTGCACTGCGCTGCGAATGTCGGCAAAACCAACAAGCTTTTAGTGTAGCCAAAAGCGAGGGGTCATATCCTGCTTGGGCGTGAAAATGCAAAATTTGGTGAGATTGGTGCTCTCGGATCTCAGGTGGCCAAGCGTACTTACTGACGGAGGCCAAACGGGATCTGAATCCTGAAATCAATAGTCTTGGGGATCCAGCTGATCCGGGATGGCGAACTTGCCAAAATGCATGCAGGGGCTTCGCGGATTTCTCGTTGGTGATGGTCAACTTCGAAACCGAGAAACTCTTGAGATCCGACATCTTCAAGCTCGATGGGTGCGCCATAAAACGTTGGGTGTAAGAGCGCCTTGAGGCTGGAAGTTTGACGCAAAGTTTCGCAAAAAAGAATGAGTCTGTTGTCGACGTATCTAATGGCAATAAACGGACGCAAAAGCCGACTCGAAGCAAAGAGTGCTTGCCAGCCAACCTCTGTGCAGAGCACAGGCAGGGAGCTGAGTATAGGCGAAATTTGATTGCCAATGCAAGTGCCATCATGCTGTTGCCAAAGAGCTCCACAAGCTTGAAAAATACCACAATCAAAAGAGGCCTGCACCATCGCAGGGACATCTGAAACATCAACGCTTTTCCAATATCTGGGATCACCCGCAAAAGTGGTTCTACCAGAGATACTTTTGACTTCGCGTTTGCCCTTAGCAATACACACGGTAATCTTGGTGGTGTCGGTGAGCTGGGAGTACCGAAGCATCAAAACATCAATAGTTTGCAATATCCGAACTTGAGGGACACTGTTGAAGAACCCAACAAGATCATCATTCTGACAACCTATCGTGGAGGACGCTGGCAGCTCTCGAAACCAAGAATGTAGCTTGTCAAATTTCTGGGGCAACGTCAAAGACCCAAAGTGTTGCGGCAAACATGCATGAATCATCTGCTCAATAGCTGAGGCCGCTGCACGCTGCAAACGTTCTGTGATTGTGCGATTGTAGGCAATGACACTTCTACCTTTGCGAAAGTCTTTCTTTTCTTTGAGAAAGACAATTCCTTGTGGGAGAGAGGCGTTCTGTCGAACGCCCCATGCATACCTCTTACGAATATCTCCTGGAATGGCATCACGAACTTGAAGTCGACAGAGGTGTGGTTCAGACTTGATCTGTTTGAAGTTTGTAACATCCTGCCACACTCGAAGAACAGACTGAAAATAGAATTGAGGGCAGAAAACCATCAAATGGGAGGCTTGATGATCTGCAAGATGCACAACCAACTTGTTGGATATACAGCGCTTGAGGCGTGTGACCTTGGGCTGCCCCTGTCGCGCTGGCGGATGATGCACAACTGGCGTATGTGCCGTGTAAGCCGCGTGTGGTGCTCTCGGATTCATGTTGGGGCCTGCTTCGTGTAGCTGGGAGTCTGGAAGTTGTGCGCCGCGTGGATCTTGGTATTGTACCTGTGCCACTAGTTGACATGGGCCTTGCTGACGTGGGAGCGGAGGTTGTGGTTGGTAGTGTTGAGGGTGTCGAACGTCTTGGACAGGTAGCTGAAGGTGACGAACTTGAGCGGGAGGTCTTGGATGTTGATGATGATCTGGACCTGCGCCTGGTCCAGCATGAAGCATGTACTGATTGCCAGTACACGGGTGCTGGTGTAGATGTTGTGCGTGATCTTGTGGTCTGGCTGTTTGTCCCGGAACTCGTCCTTGATCTTGTCGCCACGGAGCTTGAGCAGGTTGTTGCCGAGGGCGATTGCCTTGTTGGGCCGCCGTGGGGCGGGTTGGCCGTTGAGTGACGTGTCCTTGAAGTCCTTGCTGGGTAGGCGTGTTGTGGAGTTGGTCCGAGGGTGCTCGATGCGCGCCCGGCATCTGCCATGTAGGTTGGTACGGGGTCATAGGTGTGGGTGGTGATGCTCCAGGTCGTTGCGCTGGAGGAGGAGGTGGAGGAGGTTGCCGTTGTCGACTTGGATCGTTCCACGCTCCTCTATTTCCATCCATGGGTGCTGCGTCGCGAGGCTGTTCAAAGTCACAGCTGATCTACACAAAGGCTAGCTAACCGTTATGGCCGCAAAAGTGTAGCAGAACTGAAAAGAAGAGTGTTGCCAATCATGCCGGAGGCTAGGTCACGTCGACCTAAACCAAATCTGAGAACATAAGGCACGCCGGCCTTCTTGCCAACCATCGTCGGTATCCACATCAGTGGACCCAGCATGTTACTAATCCACGAAAATGTGTAACCCTTTTCATTCTCGCTCGCCAGGCGAGATAAGTTTTATGATTATCCAATGCGTCCGCGCCTAAGTGGGGACTAACATAGGCAGCATTCACGCGTAGGAGCGAGGCTCCACCGACGCCCGCAGCCCTAGGCACTGGGCGGGCTGGCTGTATAACACACTTTTTGTTTTAGTGTTTGGCATGGACTGGTTGATGGTGATGCTCTGAAAGTAGATATGCTCTATCAAGTCACCGAGGTACACGTCCGTAGAGATGGCAAAGATCTTCACGAATGGAGTTTTATGTGAAAAGGTGAGACTCGACGTGACACATGTTTGATCCTAGTCATGCTCGATCATTCAAGTCTAGTCACACCATTCACGCGTGCACCCACTGCTCATGTGGAATCACTCGAAACTGCTCATCTCTGCTGTAAGCTCAAACACCGAACATGCTCAGGCGCTCATGTCTGCTCATCACTTTCACATGCTTGAGTGCTGATCATGCACATCACTGCAGTCGTTCATGACATGCTCCGAGTCTTCACGCCACATGTACACCCGCTGCTCGTGTTCAATCACTCACAATTGCTCATCCCTCATCTCTGCTACAAGCTCAAACACTGAACATGCTCAAGCGCTCATGTCTGCTCATCACTTTCACATGTTTGAATGCTGATCATGCTCATCAATTCGGTTGTTCATGACATGCTCCGAACCTTCTCGTTGTCATCGTTCATGTCCGTGAATGCTCCATCAGTGCTCCATCTGTATGCTCACGTGATTCTGCTCAGCTACTTTGCTACTCACAGCACGCGCACCAACAGCATCACAACGTACTCAAGCTTGATGGGCTCAAGATCTTCGTGTCATGGTCAAGCGTCAAAGAATTCATCCATGTATCATGCGAAATCCAAAAGACCACGTTGAAAACTGTGTTGTAGTTGAGGTAGTAGAACAACAGCGAGGATGGTACCAATGCACAGCGAGGATAATGCAGCATATAACGTAACACTGCAGGTACACACCCAGGCATCCCTGGATGCATCACCACCTTGATCAGCGTCTTCGCTAGCAGGAGTCTGATCAAGGTGCTCCTGCCCCCTGCTGTTGTTGAAACATGAAAACGCACTCCCATTTGACTGCTAAGCTTTGCGCATTTTTGACCTCATTCTGCAGTGCTTGTTGACGATCCCGCATGTACAGCGGTGTGCCACACACACACGCAGAGACACACACACAGACACACACAGAGACACACACACACACAGAGACACACACACACAGAGACACACACACACACACAGAGACACACACACAGACACACACACACACACACACACAGAGACACACACACACAGAGACACACACACACACACAGACACACACACACACACACAGAGACACACACACACACACCCACACACACCCACACACACACACCCACACACACGCACACCCACACACACACACACCCACACCCACACCCACACCCACACCCACACACACACATACTCAAGCAACCTTCCTGACAGCCAACACTGGTACCTCCGATCTGCGAGCCACATCAGCTTAGACAGGCTAAGCCTGCTGTCACTGAAGTACATCATGCTCCTGAATACCTCTGATGTTTCAAACTGGTGTTGACATTGCAATCCCAAGGGTGTCTTGGGGCATGAAGGTGAAATGACGATGTTTTACCAGACAGGCCAGACACAAGGAATGGCATGTGCAACCTTGATGAGATGATGCAAACATGAGGTAGGGTCCTGCCTTGCTGTACCAGACTCAGAGGAATGGTGCAACACGAAATGAAGTGGACATGAAAATGAGGGTGAGGGCCCTGCCAGCTACTCTATACAGAGTCCAGGCACAGACCAATGCAGGTACGTTTACCTGGAGATGTGGCGGGGAGCTTCGATGGGCAGAGCCACCCCCGCACCCCCTCTGCCCCCCTGCACAAAAGAAATGAGGTCGACGGTTGAAACCCCTGGTTACAGGGTTGGACACACACACACACACACAAGAAGCCAAGAAGGCCAAGATTGCACGTCGACCGTGCACGTGCATTTGTCGACAAGGTTTTATTGCACCGGGCGTGCGTAAGCCCAGAAAGCAGGGCTGGAACTGTGTCGGCAAAAGAACGAAAATGATGCCAGGCCGAGTTTCAAGCCTACAGTAATGTTTGCCTGGCCGTAGCCAGCACTCTGCCCGAGGCTAGGATGCCTTGGGCACCTTTTACATCTGTGCCATGGACCCATGCGGCCCACTCTGCTGGCGCCTTAGGCGGACCCGGGAAATGCACAACAGGAAAAGCCAAAACTACCGCTTCCGACCACGGCGTTTTAAGCGCATACGCTCGACGTCTGCACCTTTCGGAAAAAACGCATCCCGCTCACTGAGTTCTGATCGTCCTGTTGCCAGCTGTCGTACCAAGAACTTTTTCTACTCACGCGGCTGCTGCTGTTGGGAGTTCCAGTTTTGTCCAGACCAAGACATGCTTGGAGAACAAAGGACGGGATCTACACTACTGTACTCGAAAAAACGTCAACACCTGATGGCTGCAGGAGGGCAAGTCATAAAGACCTCTGATTCGCGCCTGAATACCACCGTGCAACAAACAGCAAACAGCAAACAGCATCAACGGCCCTGCACATCATCCAAGTCTGCCGGATGGGTCCCTGCTTCATCATGACAAAATCTGCAGGATACTGCACGGGCCACCCCCGCCGCAGGCAGCACTCTGAAAGACGTAGGGACAAGCCCTACACTGCCTGGAACACAATCAAGCAACCTTCCTGACAGCCAACACTGCTACCTCCGATCTGCGAGCCACATCAGCTTAGACAGGCTAAGCCTGCTGTCACTGAAGTACATCATGCTCCTGAATACCTCTGATGTTTCAAACTGGTGTTGACGTTGCAATCCCAAGGGTGTCTTGGGGCATGAAGGTGAAATGACGATTTTTTTACCAGACAGGCCAGACACAAGGAATGGCGTGTGCAACCTTGATGAGATGATGCAAACATGAGGTAGGGTCCTGCCTCGCTGTACCAGACTCAGAGGAATGGTACAACGCGAAATGAAGTGGACATGAAAATGAGGGTGAGGGCCCTGCCAGCTACTCTATACAGAGTCCAGGCACAGACCAATGCAGGTACGTTTACCTGGGGTGTGGGGGGGAGCTTCGATGGGCAGAGCCACCCCCACACCCCCTCTGCCCCCCTGCACAAAGGAAATGAGGTCGACGGTTGAAACCCTTGGTTACCGGGTTGGACACACGCACACACACACACACACACACACACACACACACCCTGCATGGGACCCCCCTCCCCCCAGAGGCACAGAGAGAGCCGGGGTCTTTTTTCGCAAACCCTATACGCAAGCCATAAGCCCTATGAGCCATTTACTTGTACATCAAACAACACCCAACCCTAAACCCCACCTAAATGCAGGCTTTCAGCCTAAAGCAGAACATGAGCCGTCAACCCTATAGCGAACCTACGCCCCAAACCTTCCCGAAGCCCTTATCGACTCGAAGCCGTACAACCTTCCAGCCCTAAACTCTAAACCCCAAACTTAAAAGCATAAGTGGGCAAGGGTCAAAAAAGGCATGGGAGGAAATTTGTACGCGGAATGGGCAAAACCCTTGTAAAGCCAGGGGGAACTCTAAAAAACGATGCCCGTTGTAGTGAAGTTTGTCCGTAGCTTCAACCTTGCAAAGCGACGGGAAACTCGCAAAAGCCAAACCCCTATTCTGCGTCCTAGGCGAGATACCTTGAGTTTTGACGGTCGCTGAAGTCAAGCCGTAAACCCAAAGCTCCACAGCCACCTCACGACCGCCGCGCAGGGGGAAGAGGGACTCCATGCCCCACCCCCTGTGGTGTGGTTTTGGGATGTCTTGGGCCTGTGGTGTTGGACCCTGCAGTGTGGCCCCCCCTCCCCATTGTGGTGTGGTTTTGGGGCAAAGGCTTGGTACCCGGTTGGGCCTAGATGCAACCTGGCAACAACTTACCAACAACTTACCTGGTAAGACCTGCAAAGAAAGTGCGTTGAACAGTTGGGGTTTTGGCACCCGGCCGGCCCCATCCCCAATCACCAGCCATGGGAGGGGGTGTTGGCTGTCGCCCCCCCCCCCCCCCCGCCCACACCCATGGGTGTGGGGTCCTTCTTCCCGTTGTGAGGTGGTTGTGGGGTTTTGGGGTTTTGGGGTTTAGGGTTAGTTTAAGCTTTTGAGTTTGGGATTTAGGGTTTAGTGTTCAAGGTTATAAGGCTTCGAGTCGATAAGGGCTTAGGGAGGAGCACGCACTACGTGAGAGAGTGGTTTATCTGTGCCCCCCCCCGCCCCCCCTGCCAGACCATACCAGGGGGGGGGGGTGGAGACGCCAGACGCCTGACCATCCCCTAAACCCTAAAACCTTGAAAAACCTACAACCCCGCACCGTCAGGACTAAACCCAAGTTTGAATACAGACATGTCGTGGAACGCAGGATGGGAGCGTTAAATCGCGATCCCACTTGTTCCTTCTTGCTATTTTGATGAGGATCAGAAATATGATTATGATTGTGATAATACTGTGATTATGATTATGATTATTTCTGTACTCCTTTACAGGTGGTGGTGGATGGACCCACTGAGATCGAAATGCATCCGCTCTTCATTGGTGGCTTAAACCTTTCCTTCAGCGTGCCGTGCTGGGTTTGTTTCGTATTTGCCCTGTCAATCGCAATCGGTCCTTGCGCTTTAAGTGCGAATTGCAGGATTAAGCCCTAAACCCTAAGCCCTAAACCCCTAATTCCCTTTGTTTGGTGGTGCGTTTTTGCATGTCGAATGGTCACTGTCCTTGAGGTGCAGTACTCAAACTCCACAAACAGCCTACCTGGTGGTATCAAGTCTATCAAGGCTTCTGCCAAGAACTCCATCATCTTCCATCAAACTGGCCTTCGGTTGGAAGGAATTGACTTGGAGGCTGAAATTATGGAGGACTCACGGCGTGCGGATGGATATGCAAAAGATTGCATGACACAGAGGATCAATGGAACGCGGATCGGAACAAAGACTGAAGGTCCAGCACTTATTGTGATGTGTCTTACCGAGGAGTTTGATTACATGCACTTCACGATGCAGCTTGTTGAGGATTATCTGAAGCCAGATTCCACCTTCGCAGCAGTCAGTTTCTTCAAGAGGTTTGCCATGACAGAATCGAAGCCGGAAACACCACGCGTACTGTGCAACATTTGCCCGCACACGAACCTCACATGGTATACTTTATCGACCTGAGCGTGAACTCGTGAACCACTTGTGGTTGCCACGCTTTCGACGAAGATATGGGGGACCCTGACAATCGGGGCACCCCTCTGAAGAAGCTAAGTAGGCTTGAAGATGCTTGAAGAGGGAGGACACAGATGGCCTTGGATTAGTGATTAGTGGTGACTTGCATTGTTTTGCATCCTCTATCGGCTCATGTTCACTTTGCGATTCTGGAAGAAAGCTTACTTACACCCTCAACCCCAAACACTAAACCCTAAACCCAATTTAGGGTTCATTGTTCACATACCTTAGTAGGAATAAGAGTATGATGGGTATATGACCTCCCCCCCCCCCATTTTAAGGTTGATTTCGTCCCCAAGCTAGACCCCCCTGTTTGATGCCCTATACTACTACTGGGTCCTTTTTCGGAAACCTCAAAAGCGATCTACTTTCTGGATAGTCCCAGATCTCTGGGAAATGTTGGAGTACGGCATGTGACCTTAAGGTATAGGTTTTAGGGTTTAGGGTGGTTTCCTATATTAGAGTTTAGCTTTTAGGATTTGGGGGTTTCCGATCTTCTACACTGAAAGCGTCCTTTCAAAAGTGAGTCTACTATGTTGGGGGTAGAAAGGGGGGTACCCCGATTATGAGAAACTCTCATGTGTTCTCTCTAATCACTTGGGCCGTTGGAGTTGACTGCCCTTGGCCTCTGAACAGGCACTGTACAAAGAAATCCACCATTCACCTCTTCGCCAGAATCCGGTTTTCAAGGGGGAGGGAAGCGGGGCAAAAAAGGGGTACCCCGATGATAGGAAACCCTCATATAAGTGTTTGGTTTCCTTATTCTGGTCTTTCTGTTATTAACGGATTGGCTTAGCAGTATTTTGTTTTTTGGGGTGGGGCCTTTAGCACTTAGGGTTTAGGGGTGTTGAGGGTCTAGGACCTACAGCGTTGCTCGACACCTTTGATTTCTGCAGGCCACAGGCGAACCCCCCAGAGGCAGCTTCGAATGCTTTCATATGAAAAAGGCGTGACCCTTGCAAGAGCATCATTGTCTCAACATGATGTTTCTTCCGTGGCCAGGGTCGGGCGTAGATCGCTGCCTCTTTCTCTATCTCTCACCTCGATCCGGTAACATGCTGTGCCGCTGTGGTTGTTTTGTCTTGCTGTTTTGGACGTGTTCAGAAGCGACACTGTCCGGCGTTTCGTTCAGATAAGACCGGGCTTCGCCCGTATTCCCGTAAATCCCCTAAGGTCCTTTTGCATGTCGGCGAAATTCTTCGGTTCAAGGTCGCCGTGATGTTGGCAATGGAGTTCTCTGCCATGGTGAAGCCCCCACCAACTGAGAGTAGGGCAGGGCATAGTAGGGCCTTAGGGTGGTGTCCTATGAGAGTAGGGCAGGGCATCGTAGGGCCTTAGGGTGGTGTCCTATACTTCGGGAGCTCCTAGTTCGGAAGCTGGGACCGATAGGGGCCTAACAAGGCCCCCTTTAAACATTACCTATGCAGCCGACGTATGCAGAATTATACCATGGATCAACAAGGTGATCCTATAGGTGGCTACACGTTTCGCCCCGTGTGGGGCTCTTCTGGCCGCGGCCTTGAGGTTCGAAGCTGCCCCAAGCGCAACAAGCTCAAAGCATGCTGCGCTCAGAACTCGCGACGGCAGTGGCTGTTCTCTACGATCTCTACGCGACAGATTGCAAGGAGCTGCAGCAGCTTCTTCGGCTGGGCAGCTGTCAAAGGGTTCAGAAGCACATGGCTGCCATGGATCTAGACTCTGAAACGACTCTGACGCACCTCTCCTACAAAGTGACGGGGCCCTTTATGGCTTAAGCCCACTCCAGTCCTCTGTGCGTATTCACAAGTCCTAGGGCGTTGGCAACTCAATCCATGCATTAGCAGCGGTGTCACCCAAAAGGCCGATGGAAGGCGCGCATTAAAGGGCTTTGGTTTGGGGAGATGCCTTGAGACTCATAGTGGGGCAGAGATGTTTGCAGGGTTCAGGGGTTTCAGGGTTTAGGTGTCTAGGCTGTTTTGAAGGCTTCAAGTGGTTTGTGATTCCCGCATCCGGAGACCGACCGGAAGAGTGCGAACACAGGTGCCGAGGCCATTCGAGACTAGCGTAGCAGCGTAGCTGCAAGAGATCCCGACAGGCTAGTGGGTAGCCGACATTGCCCATTGAAAGGTCTTCCAGCTGTGTTCATGCCCTCAGGGCATGCTGAGGTCCGGCATCACTTGCTGCCTGGAACAAGAAGCCAAGCACTCGTCTCCAGCCAGAAGTTTGATACTCCTTGTTTTTTTTGCTTTTCACACCGCCAAAATGCCCCGTGATTTTCCCTAGTGGTCCCGAAGTTGAATCCATTTCGGATGGTCGGCTGCGCAAAATCTTGTTCGCTGCTTGCGTTTACAAAAAACTGGAAAAGAAGACCCTAACAAGATCTTCAGGCATGTGATCAGCATAAAGATCTGGCCTTTCAGAGCTGCAGTTGCTTACATCTTGAAGCATTTGCGTCGCTGAAGGCGAGGCATGTCCATGCAAAACATCCCGGATCCTCCTGCGATGTGAAGTGTCACCCTTTGTAAGACGACTTTGCCCTAAAAAGTCCTGAGCTCTTCGTGAACCTAACCCCGATTCTGAGCCGCTTGTGCCACTGCATCTCCGACTGCCTCTCCGAGTTAATCGGCGAAGCTGCAAGAATCCTAAACCCTAAGGCCATCTACAGCCCTAAGCCCTGTTTGCTACCCACTACCGGGTCAAGGCTCTATCCAGAGTCAGGTTGTTGCCATGTTAAGGTCCCAAAGCCATCAACCTGCTCGTTTCAGTAAGGTTGCGCTCATTTAGGTAATTATTCATGCACAATAGCAGTGAAATTCTCAACATTCATGTGGCCATGGACTTCCTTGGGACGGCTGCGCTGAAGTGTGGGTGGTCAGTGTAGGAACTTCAGATGGTCAGGATTGACAGCCAGACCCTGTATTCAAAGCGTTCTGAGTGTAATTCTGAGCAGTACTTAGCCCTAAACAATAAACCCTTAACCTCAACAGTCATAGCCGAGTAAGAAGCAACAGGTCCCCCTGAAGCTTGAAAGTATGCGCTGGCATTGACCTGAGTTGCCTCTTGCTGGTGGAGGTGCGAGGCTCATGACAACACTTAAGATTTAGGGTTTAAGGTCTAGGGTTTAGGGTTTTGCGATGAAGCTTGGAGGCTGAAGGCGGAGTGTCTCTCAGCTCAAGCTCCAACTCCTTGCAAGCTCCGGGGGGCGGTGAACTCGGCGAAGCGAGCTTCTTTTCGGTGCTTAGGTCCGTCAATTCTTGAACAGCTCAATTGCCACGAGAACGGCACGTTGGTTTGGCTTCCAGATGCTTCCAGCTTCAACCGTCTACGAGAGGAGAGCCTCTCAACCCTAAACCCTAAATCGATTGCCGCAACGGCATGTCTCCAGTGCTGCATCCTGAGAAGGAGCCCCTTGCGCCTCACAGCATCCCAGGTTGTTGGTGCTGTCCGCCCCTCCTATTTTGGACCCGTTTCCGGACTTATTTCCGTGACAGAGGGGGACGGTTCCTAAATCGGTCTGGGTTCCTAGGCTGCTAGGATCTTTGGTTTCACTGCGCAGCAGGATTCAAGCAGGGTGCTGAGAAAGTGGCTCCCACCCAAATTCTTCCGCAAGTTGAACCTATTTCCCCTTCCCTCCCCACCCAAAGCGCACGCTGACGTTTCCTCTTGGTGTCAGCTTCGTTGGTACATCGGAAAGTGGCGAACCGACTCTCTGAGAAGTCGAAATGCCGAAAGCTGACGATGCCTCCTCCATGACCTCCGATGCCAACTCGATTGACGTCGTCTGGGGAATCTCTGATTTCATCGTCCATATTGTCCATGCACAGTGCCAGCAAATAGTGCTGCAAAAATAAGGCCACGCCATGATTCCCAAACCCATCTGCCACGTCTACAACCTTTGGAGTACGAGTCCCACTCAAGAAGCAATAGAACAATAGGTCTTTGGTGGGGCCTCCCACTAAAGAGAGGGAGTATCTAAGCAACTGCATGGCACGGTGCATGACACAGGCGGGGAGTGGGAGCGTAGCGTATATAGCCATTGTTTGGGCCTTGTTGCGGGGATTCTCTGTCTGCTCGACCGCTTCCCTACCACCCTAAACCCTGAACCCCTGAGCCCTAAACCGTTCAGGTCCGGGCTCACTGTTGAGAAATAGAAATAGAAATAGAATGTATGCGACGTCAACCTGTACATAAGATCGCATTGATCATGAAGTAGCCCTGGAAAAGGGGGTTCCCAAGGCCCAATTGCTTTGCAGTCATGCTCTCCATCCCCGCCATCTGGCACTGATGAGTGCTTCAGTGCTCATAGTAGTTACCTCAAATGTGTGAGGTACGTTGTCAGTATGTTGTCAGAAATCTTTCAATCTCTTCCAACGCTGAAGTTGACACAAAGAAGAAGGGACGCCTGTCCCGAATTTACTCTGCAGATGACTCTTGCTAGCCACCTCATGCATGTTGCACACGCCCGCGATCTTCCGAACAACCCCATCAGGAACAGAAGTCTCTTTGTGCAGGGAGTGTGCCTGGGGCTGCACAGCCCGGTTTAGGGTTCAGGACTTGGTAGAATGACAAGCAAAGGCAAGAGCAAGCAGCCATGGGGCCCCCTTGTTTTTGCTCTGTAGAGGAGACAGGTGAGTGCTTCATGCTGTGCAGATAGTACACTGCATGGCTGGCGATCCAATGGCCTCGCTGAAGGACTTCTGGTCCTTTAGAGATAGGCGGGTCAGAGCTTCGGATGCTTCATGCCGTGCAGACATTACATCGCGTGGCTGTCGATCCAACGGTCTCGTTGAAGGGCTTTTGGCCCTTTAGCGACAGGTGGGTCAGAGCATCGGATGCTTCGTGCCGTGCAAACAGTACATTGCATGGCTGTCGGTCCAATGGCCTCGTTAAAGGACTTGTGGCCCTTTAGAGACAGGTGGGTCAGAGCGCCGGATGCTTCATGCCGAGCAGACATTACATTGCATGGCCGT